GCCCCCTACTGGAGATTGAACCCACAACCCAGGCATGTGCCCTTGACCGGAATCGAACCCAGGACCCTAAGTCCACAGGCGGACGCTCTATCCACTGAGCCAAACCAGCCAGGCCTGGGAAGCCTTTTAAAGGATGGGTAAACTGAGGCCGGGTGAGTGAGGAAAGGTTTGTCCATGTAGGAAAGTCCAGCAGAGGCAGCAGCATGGAGGTGACGGTGATGCAGAAACAATGCTGAGTGTATTCCTTTGCTTAAGCCAGGTCGACCCGGAGAGTCTAGGGATTGGTCGCCCTTAAGCCGGGGGAGGCTTTGTGTCGGTTGCTGATTGGCTGGTTTTCAGAAACGCGGGGCCGGTCCTGATTGGCTGGCTGGCTGGCTGGCTTTCAGAGAAGCGCGGTCGGTCGGGGTGATGACCCGACCTAGCAGATTTGAGAGCACTTCCGGTGCTTCCTTATTGTCGTGGATACCAAACAATCGGTCTTTCCGAGGAAGGGCGAGATGTGCAGCACGGACATGGGTGGTGGGGGCTGCTTCGGGAATCGCTTCTTCCGCTCCCCAGCCGGGCAGTTCCGCGCCTGCCCGGGGGGCGCAGGCATTTCAGAGCCGAGCAGGAGAAAGACATGGCCACGAGGTGGCAGTAGACACACGGGCTTTGTTTACCACGTTCGGACAGGTTTGTCCTGTGGGTGGGAGAAGCCGGGACCTGAGACCCCGAGGTTATTGCGTGGGAGCCACTGTCCAATGAGCAAGTCAGAGTAGAATAAAAATAGAAATATTAGGCACTTTAAAAAAAATATTTTTATTGATTTCAGAGAAAAGAAGGGAGTGGGAGAGAGAAACATCCTATATAATAAAAAGGTTTGATTGCCAGATGCATCATCATTATAAAACCCCCCACTTATAATGCCCCTGAGAAGGGGATTAAGGGGCAGGGTGATAGCACTCAGGGCACAGCGGGAGTCGCTGGGAGACTCCTTAGGCGACAGCCGCTTGGGGTATATTTTCTTTCTCTCTTTCTCCCTCTTCCTTCCTTCCTTCCTTCCTTCCTTCCTTCCTTCCTTCCTTCCTTCCTTCCTTCCCCTTCCTTCCTTCTTTCCTGCCTTCCTTCTTTCCTTCCTTCCTTCCTTCCTTCCTTCCTTCCTTCCTTCCTTCATCTCTTTCTTTCTCTCTTTCTCTCTTTCTTCTAATATATATATAGCCCAGCTAGCGTGGCTCAGTGGTTGAGCATCAACCTATGAACCAGGAGGTCAAGTTCAAATCCCAGTCATGGCACATGTCCAGGTTGCAGACTTGATCCCCAGTGGGGTGGGTGCAGGAGGCAGCCAATCAATGATTCTCTCTCGCCATTGATGTTTTGATCTCTTTCTCCCTTTCTATCTAAAAATAAATAAAAACATATTAAAAATGAATAATATAATAAAATAAAAAAATATATATATATTAGAGAGGGAGAGAGGGAGAGAAAGAGAAACATCGATGTGAGAGCACAACATGGATCGGCTGCCTTCTGCACACCCCCTACCAGGCCTCAAGGCCCCAACGAAATCCGGGCAGGTGCCCTGACCAGGAATAGAACTGGCAACCTTTTGGTGCACGGGATGGCGCCGTGCAGCAAACCGAGCCACACTGGCCAGGGCCGCTTGGAGTCTTTTATAGCTGCAGGTTCACCTTACCTCTGGCTAGCAGATGCTGGGCACAGCTTCGCGGAGTATTCAAAACAGGCAGGCTTTAAGTGGCTAAAAATATCTGCCCGTTTGGACGGCTATATTTGAAGCAAGTGAAGGTGTAGAAGCTTGGATTGGGCCCTGGCAGGCTCTGGGGCCAGTGGTCTGGCCCGCTGTGAAGAAATAAACGACACGGGGCCATGTGCGGGGGACTGTGTGCAACAGGTGGGCGTGCGACTCAGGATGGGCCAAATCGGAGTAAAACAGTGACTGGCCCCACAGTGAGCAACAGATGGATCCAAGCTGTTGCTAGTTTTCAGAATGTTCTAGTTGCATCCTGCAGCGAGGAGTTCTCTTCCCTTTGTTTTTTTTTTTTTGTTTTGTCTTGTGTGTTTTTCCCCTTAAACAACACGTTTATTGCCTCGCAGTTCTGCAGGCTAGAAGCCCGGAAGCAGGGTTCCCCCAGGGCCATGCTGTCCGGCGCTGGGGAGGGATTGCTCCAGGTCCCTTCCTTGGCTTGTGGCCGCACAATTGCAAGGTCACGTGGCTCTCTCCCGGGGAGCGTGTCTGTGTCCAAGCTGCCCCCTTTCCTGCAGGATCACATGCTCTCAGCCGGACTGCCCTTTCCTGCCTGCGGCATCCCAGCCCTTCTCCTCTGAGTCCCATCTCTGTCCGCTTCAGTGCAAGTTGGCACCGTTTCTGCTGCGACCATGTACTGGACCCGCAGGCCACAGGCCTAAATCGCTCAGCAAACGGCCGTCCGGCCACACCCCTGGCGTTCTGTCCAGAACACGCTTTCTCCTTTTTGCCATGTGAACAGGCTGAGCATCGCCCCAGCCTTCAAGTTCCGGGTTCCTTTCGCTGAACGCTTTCTTTTGCGCTTTATCGCTGTCCTCTTGCATTTTACGTTCTTAAGGCTGAAGTTCACGATCAAGGTGTCCGCGGGGCCGTGATCCCTCTGAGGGCGCTGGCGAAGGATCGGCTCCGAGCCGGTGCCTTGGCTTGTGGCCTCGTAGCTCCGATTGGCACATGGCATTCTCTCTGTGTGCGTCTTCGCCCTGGTTCCGAGGGCAAGTCAGAGCTCATCAGTCCTCGCTGAGGCCCACCCGAGCTCATCCTTGGGACAATTTAATTAATCAATCCTATTCCTCCTGTTGTTTTCAAGGCTGATTCAGAGGTGTGTGTGTGTGTGTGTGTGTGTGTGTGTTGAGGCAGAGTGGTGGGTGGGGACCAGGCCTCACGGCCTCAAAGGCCTTGGCCCCGAGGGTGCAGTGCTTGGGGATCCTGAGAGGAGAGGGAGGGGGGCCGGGCAGTGGAGGGACAGCCTCAGCTCCGGGCGTAGAAAGAGCCCTCTGAGATCTGGTGGTGAACTTACTGGAAAGGGCAAGGCTGGAGGCTAAGAGGTTCAGGGAAGAGATGAAACGGAAGCCAAGGTTGGGGTCCTGAGGCGTTTCTTGTCCCCCAGCCCCCCCAGGCCCGGCCCCGGATGAGTGCTCAGGAGCAGCTGGAGAGGCTCCGTAGGAACCAGGAGTGCGGACGGCCTCTCCCTCGCCCCGCTTCTCCGCGGCTCCTCACTCTGGGGAGGACCCTGTCCCCCGCACGATGCCAGCCTGACGCGGAGCAAAGGGTGAGGGGAGCCGAGAGGGCGGTGGGGTGGCAGGGTGTGAGGCTCCTGGTGTGAGGCTCGTTGTCCCTCTCCGGAAAATGGGGGTGCACCCTTCCTACCCAGAACCGGGTTTCCCAATTCCACCGGCTTGTACCTGTGCCAAAGGCAGCGTCTGGGCCCCTTCTGGGTGGGGGTCGGAGGTGGGCAGATACAACATCCCCAGCTCACCAGGCATCTAGGGTCTAGATTGCAAGCCCGAGCTTTCTTTTCAGTTATTCTGTGTTGTCAAAGGAAAGAAAGAAAGAAAGAAAGAAAGAAAGAAAGAAAGAAAGAAAGACGAAAAAGAAAGAAAGGAAGGAAGGAAGGAAGGAAGGAAGGAAGGAAGGAAGGAAGGAAGGAAGGAAGGAAGGAAGGAAGGAAGGAAGGAAGGAAGGAAGGAAGGAAGGAAGGAAGGAAGGAAGGAAGGAAGGAAGGAAGGAAGGAAGGAAGGAAGGAAGGAAGGAAGGAAGGAAGGAAGGAAGGAAGGAAGGAAGGAAGGAAGGAAGGAAGGAAGGAAGGAAGGAAGGAAGGAAGGAAGGAAGGAAGGAAGGAAGGAAGGAAGGAAGGAAGGAAGGAAGGAAGGAAGGAAGGAAGGAAGGAAGGAAGGAAGGAAGGAAGGAAGGAAGGAAGGAAGGAAGGAAGGAAGGAAGGAAGGAAGGAAGGAAGGAAGGAAGAGAGAGAAAGGAAAGAAGGAAGGAAGGAAGGAAGAGTTAATTCATTCTATTGCAGCGAGGAGAGCGCTCCAGACCCCATCAGAGTGGCTCGCCAGGGCGGTTTCATCTTACTTTTCGAGGGAGGAATTAGACAAGTTGTAGGTGGGGTGATTTTACGGGTAGGATTGTTTTTGTCAATCAGGGGATCGTCTCAGTCAGACGAACCCAAACGTGTGTCTCTGTCTAGCCGGTTTTGGGGGGACAGGCCGTTCAGCCAGTCCTGTAGGAGGTAAAGGGGGAATCCGGAGGGTCTGGCTTTGTCACAGGTAAGCGAGGTGCGGCCTCTGTGTCTTCTCGAGGTCTACGGCGAAGAAGGTTCTTTACGCGTAAAGTTAATCATTGCCAGTGTTTTGAGGCCATTTCGGCCCCTCTCTGAGCCTCCTTCATTTCACCCTCACAATGGGAAGTGGGGGCTCCCAGGTGAGGAGGACTATGCCCCCTTTTTTTGCAGCCTGGCCTGGGACACGCGGGAGCCCAGAAATGGCTCAGGAGCTCCGGGTCCTGGAGCAGGTAAGGAACTGGGGTGCCCGCGAGGAGCAGGGAAATCAATTTCCCAAGGGGAGGCGAGTAGCTTTGTTATTTATGTCTCCTGAGTTCTGAAGTGCAGATTGCAGCCTTTTATTATTATTTTTTTAAATTTTAAATTAATGAGGGAGAGAGAGAGAAACATCTCTTGGTTGCTGTACACGCCCTGACTGGGTGGGGATCGAGCCTGCACCCTGGGCATGTACCCTGACCTAGAATCGAACCCGCCACCTGTCGGTCTGCGGGATGACGCTCCAACCAACTGAACCACCCGACCAGGATGATTGCAGAACCTTCTAGAGTTCCTGGGGCATCAGAAAGCCCTGGATCCCCAGTGAGAACAGCAGTCCCCCAACTGCAACCCTGGGTGGATATCAACTCCCCCCGACCATCTGGAAATGGGGTGAAGTTTACCAGTGACTGGAGGGGAAATTCCATGGTGCACAGGAGCTTTTTATGCCGGCCTGGCCAGGTTCAAAGTCCTTGAAGATTGTCCTAACTGGTTTGGCTCAGTGGATAGAGCATCGGCCTGCGGACTGAAGGGTCCCGGGTTCGAGTCCAGTCGAGGGCATGTACCTTGGTTGCGGGATGCAGCTGATCGATGCTTCTCTCTCATCCAATGTTTCTAACTCTCTATTTCTCTCCCTTCCTCTCTGTAAAAAAATCAATAAAATATATTTTTAAAGTCCTTGAAGACACGTGCTGAGGACTACAACTCCCAGAAGGACACGTGGGGGCACCGCAGTAATCACTGTCCTGGCTAACTGCTGGTCTCCCCAAAAGCTTTTTTTCTAGTTCGAGGAACACCACCCCTTATATTCCCATGTCCGAGGGTCATCGGGAGCGAGTCCTCAGCCTCTCTCAAGCTCTGGCCACCGAGGCCTCGCAGTGGCACCGAATGATGACAGGTGGGGAGGGCGGGGGGTGGTTGGGGACCTAGGGCTCCGGGTTTTAGGGAATCCTAGCTCCTGGTGGGGAGGGATCGCGGGTCCCCGGAAATTCTTTGTCCTGATGAGGAAAGAGCTGCACAGGGTTTGGGAGTTCTCGACCCCAGGCAGCAGGGGTTTGGGGCCCGGGGCTCCTGGGTCCGAGAGAAGAAACGCTGGGGGTCCGGAACCTCGGGTCCCCCTTTTTGCCCTTCTCACCCCTCCCTCGTCCTCTCCAGGTGGAAACTTGGACCCCGGAGGCGAACCTCTTCCCCCGGTGCCGCCGCCTCCGTCAAACCCCAAGCCCCCGCTGCCCTCGCCCCCACTCTCCTCCTG